ACATTCCCTGTGGAATTATCAGTGTCATTAGCTTTCTTCTTTGTGGAATTCTGTGTTCTGGGTTGTCTCTCGCTACTTGGCCTTCTCTTTCGCTTCCTTTCTGCTCCAACTGGTGTGCCATGACATTTATAAAGGGCAGTGCAAACCCTGTCACGGTATGCCTAGTGGGAAAAGATAAAACTTGCTTAACAAACCATGTTTTGGCAAATTTAATGTGATATATAAAAAAAAAGCCAAAAGGGTTTATTAACTTATAATGACTATCTCAATTACAGTGGGTCAAATATTACTATCTTTCTTCTGATACTTTGCAATGAAATATATAGATTATCACCACAAATCACAAGTGAGCCTTGGGCCCAAAAGGGAAAACTTATATTCAGTCCAACTTACCAATCGTTTGATACTTCTCTCTCCACAAATAATCAGTAGATGTTGGGAACTTACACACAGGATAAAAGAGAGGGCAAAAAAAAAAAAAAAAAGTTGGAGAAATTCTATGTAAAAAGTAGCATAGAAGTTCAAGTCTTAAATCAGAAAACGGAGGGTATAAGGATTTATTCATTGGACATTCAATGGTGTATCACAAGACAAAAAACAAAGTAGGTTGAAACATCTACAAATCGATATCTTGGAATGTTAAGCTCCAATAATATGTTATAGATTTTTATCATCAACTTCATGAATTAATTTCAAGATATAAGGCTTTTCTTATTATAACACGCTCAAAAGGATCCCTCGTTCGTCCATCAAATATTCTACTTTTTTCTGTGTACTTGGATTCAATTCAAATACCCATCAATTAGCTGTTTGCAGACCGTTTTCGTGCTAATGTAGTCTAAGGGGCATATGCATAGCTAGTACTAGTAATAAGTTAGTCATCCATTTAGGAATGGCAGCAAAACCCAGAGCTTGATAGGATTAGGCTACCACCCCTTTTTCAGAACATTTATGCTTCGCTTGTTTCAGCAGAAAATATTCTCCACGGAAACCTTTTTTTCCAGAAAATGTTTTCCATAGAGAACATTTTTCTATGTTTCATTACATTCTTCAAACTTATGTAATTAGTGGTAGTGGTGGCCGTGGCGTGGTGGTTTTAGTGGTGATGGTGGTGGAAAATATTTTCTACCCAAATAATTTTATTTGTCGTTGACCATGGAAAACATTTTCCATTTTCTGTTGTACCAAACACCAAAAATCAGTAGAAAATGTTTTCCGCATTTGGAGGGTTAGACAAAGTGAATTAAATGATCACTTGATGAAAAGCAAACAAGATGGACTAGGCCAAATAAACAGCATACATTCTCAGCAGAAAATGCAACATATGCCCTTGCAGGATCAGCCCATTTGGCAGAAATGGCCTCTGAAATTTTCCTCCTTTGCTCAAGAGAATTGGGTGCTCTCTTGCTACCTTTCGGTCTTGCCATTTTTCTACTTTGCTCAACACTCTCCAACCATTCCTGCCCGAGCTGTTCATCCAAGATCTTATAGGAGTCCCACTGCTTCTCTTCCTCACCAACAAATCCCTTTCTAGAAGCTTCTGCTATCAAATTCTGCCACTCAAAGTAGCAAGTTTCCTGCAGCTTCAGTTTTTCACGGCACCTTTCCCACCCCATTCGCACTCCATTGCCAATTTTCATCCTTGTTTCTTCGCTGCACAATCAATAAAGAACATGGTAAATAAAGTGATTAAAGCAATATGTGGAAAATTACAAACTGAAGGTCAAAGACTCAAAACTCCTGTTAGACTTAAAGAAGGCCCTAGTACAAATCCAGGGTAATGCCAAGCATCTAATTCACTGAATCTTATCAATTTCCAAAATCTCATATTTGAAGAAGAAAACAGACTAATATTAACAGTAAACAAGGCACAAATTATTACAAAATGAAGGAGGAAAAAATTAAAATAGTTTAGTCTTTTTCTGGCTTCAGCCTCCAAGAACCAACAAAAGAGAAAAACAAATATCAATTAACTGAACCCAAATGACTGAACCCATCTAAGATTCAATCTAAAAGACCAGAACATCAATTAACAAGACAAGCAGAATATCCAGGATTTTTTTGTTAGTGAATATCCAGAAAGTTTATGAATAACCAAGTACTTGTAAATTCAATGATAGAAAGAAAAATAGCAGAACCAAAAATTGAAATAACAAGACGGAATGTCATGAGATTCTACCTCTGAGCATGTCCTAGGTTAACTAACTTCATCTTAACCTGCATAGGCTGTGTCAGTGAGATCTGCTACAAAGAATTTACATTAACAGGTTCAGTGCTGGCAGGGAAGGTACAAGAGAAAAGCAAATAGTTTTAAGAATTCATGAGAAATGTTTATCAGAAATTGAACCCTTATGACACCCAAGGGGTTCAATTTCTGTTAAACATTTCTCATGAATTATTGAACCCAACAACTTCAGATCAACTGAGGCTATTTGTGTTTCTCAATTATTTCGTCCATGAATTACTTAGAAACTGGACCAAGACATTTAGGCACTTGCTCCTGTTAGTTCTTCAGGTCTGTGAGAGGTATGCATTTCATTTGCATTGCTTGTGTGAAAAAAAGAAGAAAAAAAAATTCAATCAATTAATCCAATCACCGTTAAAATATAGGTCGAGAGATGGCCTTATTTTTTGCTTGGAGATACACTTTATTTGCCTCCTTGGCATTTGTCTTCTCTTCTAGCTTCTGAAAGAACTGAAACAGCAAATGATAAAAAGACAGTAAAAAACATCAGCATAACAATAAATGAGTAAAACTGCAAATATATATGGAGTGAATGGATCTGGACTTGCCTCTTTACGTTTTGCCGCTCTTTCTTCACACCTCAAGCTAAAAGAGGAGGGTACTGTGGGAGGTCGTGCTTTGGGTCCAGATACACCTAAAGTCTTCAAATGGCTGCATAGTGTTAAATAAAATTTAGAATTCTTGCATAACATTGTTAAGAGTAATTGTGTTGCACGAAATTTTGTCTAGGTTTTCTCACATGTGCTGAGGAAAAGTGATACTTGAATTGCAAAATTGGTTCCTATAAACTGTAATGGTATCACTGGCATGGATGGTATTGAAATATGTATTTAATATGAAATAAATTAGGTATGAATAGTAACAAACAGAAGGCAGCATTACAGAAAGTGTAAGAGATGCTACTTCATTTTGGAAAGATAGTTTGTGGGTTCGACCATGAGAGTAGCCACTTTGTGTAAATAATGCCAAAGGTTAGGTTTGTATCTAATCTACCCCTAATAGACCCCAATCCTATAGGCGCTAAACTGGGAGTACTTTATTATTATTATTATTATTATTATTATTATTATTATTATTACATTTTTTAATTTGCATCCACGCCTTATCTATCCCTTGTGCCAGAAACACAATACTAGCAAGACTTTTGGAACTTTCTTGGAGCTATTGTTCCTAGTATGCAATACAAAATCTCTACACTCAGTAGATAGCGATATGAGCATCTAATGAGAACTCTACAATCCACAACATAGGCAAAATAAGATCTTACTCTATCCCATGTGATTTCCCATCTGCTATCCTCCTTCCAGAAACTAAGATCTTGGCATTTGTCTTCTCTTCTAGCTTTTGAAAGAACTGAAACAGCAAATGATAAAAAGACAGTAAAAAACATCAGCATAACAATAAATGAGTAAAACTGCAAATATATATGGAGTGAATGGATCTGGACTTGCCTCTTTACGTTTTGCCGCTCTTTCTTCACACCTCAAGCTAAAAGAGGAGGGTACTGTGGGAGGTCGTGCTTTGGGTCCAGATACACCTAAAGTCTTCAAATGGCTGCATAGTGTTAAATAAAATTTAGAATTCTTGCATAACATTGTTAGAGTAATTGTGTTGCACGAAATTTTGTCTAGGTTTTCTCACATGTGCTGAGGAAAAGTGATACTTGAATTGCAAAATTGGTTCCTATAAACTGTAATGGTATAACTGGCAAGGATGGTATTGACATATGTATTTAATATGAAATAAATTAGGCATGAGTAGTAACAAACAGAAGGCAGCATAACAGAAAGTGCAAGGGAAGCTACTTCATTTTGGATAGATAGTTTGTGGGTTCAACCATGAGAGTAACCACTTTGTGCAAATAATGCCAAAGTTAGGCTTGTATCCAATCTATGCCTCCTAGACCCCAATCCTATGGGCGCTAAACTGGGAGTACTTTTTTATTATTACTATTATTATTACTTTTTTTAGGTTGCATCCACGTCTTATCAATACCTTGTGCCAGAAACACAATACTAGCAAGACTTTTGGAACTTTCTTGGAGCTATTGTTCCTAGTATGCAATACAAAATCTCTACACTCAGTAGATAGCGATATGAGCATCTAATGAGAACTCTACAATCCACAACATAGGCAAAATAAGATCTTACTCTATCCCATGTGATTTCCCATCTGCTATCCTCCTTCCAGAAACTAAGATCTTGGCATTTGTCTTCTCTTCTAGCTTTTGAAAGAACTGAAACAGCAAATGATAAAAAGACAGTAAAAAACATCAGCATAACAATAAATGAATAAAACTGCAAATATATATGGAGTGAATGGATCTGGACTTGCCTCTTTACGTTTTGCCGCTCTTTCTTCACACCTCAAGCTAAAAGAGGAGGGTACTGTGGGAGGTCGTGCTTTGGGTCCAGATACACCTAAAGTCTTCAAATGGCTGCATAGTGTTAAATAAAATTTAGAATTCTTGCATAACATTGTTAGAGTAATTGTGTTGCACGAAATTTTGTCTAGGTTTTCTCACATGTGCTGAGGAAAAGTGATACTTGAATTGCAAAATTGGTTCCTATAAACTGTAATGGTATAACTGGCAAGGATGGTATTGACATATGTATTTAATATGAAATAAATTAGGCATGAGTAGTAACAAACAGAAGGCAGCATAACAGAAAGTGCAAGGGAAGCTACTTCATTTTGGATAGATAGTTTGTGGGTTCAACCATGAGAGTAACCACTTTGTGCAAATAATGCCAAAGTTAGGCTTGTATCCAATCTATGCCTCCTAGACCCCAATCCTATGGGCGCTAAACTGGGAGTACTTTTTTATTATTACTATTATTATTACTTTTTTTAGGTTGCATCCACGTCTTATCAATACCTTGTGCCAGAAACACAATACTAGCAAGACTTTTGGAACTTTCTTGGAGCTATTGTTCCTAGTATGCAATACAAAATCTCTACACTCAGTAGATAGCGATATGAGCATCTAATGAGAACTCTACAATCCACAACATAGGCAAAATAAGATCTTACTCTATCCCATGTGATTTCCCATCTGCTATCCTCCTTCCAGAAACTAAGATCTTGGCATTTGTCTTCTCTTCTAGCTTTTGAAAGAACTGAAACAGCAAATGATAAAAAGACAGTAAAAAACATCAGCATAACAATAAATGAGTAAAACTGCAAATATATATGGAGTGAATGGATCTGGACTTGCCTCTTTACGTTTTGCCGCTCTTTCTTCACACCTCAAGCTAAAAGAGGAGGGTACTGTGGGAGGTCGTGCTTTGGGTCCAGATACACCTGAAGTCTTCAAATGGCTGCATAGTGTTAAATAAAATTTAGAATTCTTGCATAACATTGTTAGAGTAATTGTGTTGCACGAAATTTTGTCTAGGTTTTCTCACATGTGCTGAGGAAAAGTGATACTTGAATTGCAAAATTGGTTCCTATAAACTGTAATGGTATAACTGGCAAGGATGGTATTGACATATGTATTTAATATGAAATAAATTAGGCATGAGTAGTAACAAACAGAAGGCAGCATAACAGAAAGTGCAAGGGAAGCTACTTCATTTTGGATAGATAGTTTGTGGGTTCAACCATGAGAGTAACCACTTTGTGCAAATAATTATAACTAGCAAAAGGGACAAATCAAGAACTCAAATGAAAAACCAAATACTGAGAACAGTAACAAATCAAGTATTGTCAAAATAATATTAAAACAACGACAAAGAAATAGCAATCCCATGTCAGAAAAATCAAAACCCACTAGGGTTTTCTGTGAAAATGAAGAAGATTGTGTTTTTTGGACAAACCTCTTCGGGTTCAGTGGAAGTAGTGCCAGCAGGTTGAGAGAAGGATCGAACAAGACAAGTTGGCGATTCACCCATTTCTGTCTTTGCAGTGAAGAGAGAGAAACTCAAAGAAACCCAAAGAAACCTACCCTATGATTCCCTGAATCCTCTTTCTTTCTCTCTGTATCTTCTTCGTATAGGGTTTCTTTTTTTTGATTCTCTTATGGGGTCTTCTTTGCTCTTCTAAATCTTGGAATCTCCGAGAATGCAGTTCATTCACTTTGTTAATATATTCCATATTTAGATTATAGGCTCCTAACAGGTATGTTCAAACCCTGCCTTCTTCTCTCCCTCGCTTATTCTTTCCTTTTCTTGTTCTTTTCCTTGTTCAAACCTTGCCTTATTCTCTCCTTACTTTGTTCTTTCCTCTTCTTATTCTTTTCCTTGCACAGCAGTCCTCATGGCCTAGTGTCACTAGTTTGCCTTCACATTCACTATGGTTTTATTTTAAAAGATAGGTCAATTGATTAATAGTTTAAAAATTGGGGAAGGAGTTGGTGAAAACATTTTTTTACATTGCATACTTATTGATTTTTTTGTTTATTAATTATCCTTAAATTAATTTGATTTTGATATATTTTCTTTAAATTAGGATTTGTGAGAATTTATTTGATCTGTTTCAACTTAATTTTAAAATTCTTAAAATTTTGTTTGGAGATTTGAGTTTAGAATGCAAAGAAACCAAATAATTCTTCTTGGATGGGATTTTTAATTTCTGTTACAATCTCAAATTGGTTAACATAGGCTTTGCCAATGTCGATATAGGAAAATTATATAATAGTCCTAAAGTATCACGTAACTATATTCCTTTACCAATCATCATTTATTATATTTCTTTATATTCTTCAATTATCCAATACAAATAATCAATATTCCACCTTTTCTACTAATTATACTACCATAATACAAATAATTAATATTCCACCTTTTTCTACCAATTATACTACCATAAAACACCACGTGACCGTATTTCCGGACTACCGAATTATCACCCGTGCATATAAGACCTCGTTTGTGAATATTTTATTTTTGTAATTTTTGATTTTTCTTGGGCTAAAATATGAGGTAAAAAAATTGATATACTTATGATATTTTTTTAATTTAGAAAAAAAGAATATTTAACTTTTTTTAATAATTTATTAATCT